AAAAATTTTGGAGGAAAAAGACCAATATTCTCTCTAAATGCAGACCTGATGGAAAATTTTCAGCTTGCCCTATTGAAAACACCGGGGCTTGCTTTACTTTCTGCCTTGCATGATTGCCTCTTTCATTAACATTTGAGACAGGCAGCAGGCAGGGAGAAGTCCTAAATAGCTCTAAACCTAGCTTCTCCCATCTTTCCCAGCCTTAGGCTGGTTCAGACAAAGCCTTTGCTGGAGGCTGGCTGCAAGGGAAGATGTTTCAATTACCATAGGAGTAGGGGCAGTGCAATCCCCCAAGGGCTCAGCTTCTGCACATTGAATCAATGCAACATTTTCCTCCAATCTTGAGCAAAGCCACGTTTGATCATGGTGTGAGCTGAGATGCTGCATTAACAGATCAGGTCCTTGCTGGCTGGTGTCAACTGGGGAAGGTCACAGCATGGCCCTCCAGGCTGGACACATTATTAGACTCATTAGTAATGGAAAAAGGTCATGTGGAGGGGCAGCTGTAAGTGGGTGCTGGGGTTGGGTCATTTGGGAATGATGGTGGCCATGATGTGAAACTTGGGCATTTGGGAGGTTGTGACCGTGGTCACAAGGGTTTTCAGGATGAAGAAGAGACAAGAATGTTGACTCCATGATCAGAAGGCTTGATTTATTATTTTATGATATATGTTACATTAAGACTATACTAAAAAGAAATAGAAAGGAAAAGGTTTCTTCAGAAGCTAGCTAAGCTAAGAATAGAAAAGAATGAATAACAAAGATCTGTGTCTCAGAAAGAGAGCAAGAGCCAGCTCTGCCATGAGTGGTCAGGAAATTTAAACATTTACAGGAGACCAATCACGGGTCTACCTGTTGCGTTCCACAGCAGCAGATAACCATTGTTTACTTTTGGTTGCTGAAACTGCAGCTTCTCACAAGGAAAAATCCTAAGAAAGGATTTTTCATGAAAGATGTCTGCGACAGGAGGTGGGGATGGAGGTGTGAATGGGGTTGATAAGGTTTGGGGACCAGGGAGCAGTAATGAAGTGTGGGCAGCTGGGACCAAGATATTGGGATTGGGAAGAATAGAGATGAAGCCAAAGATTGATTACTGACCCCTGTCATGGGGCCGAATTGGATGGGCAGAGGTGAAGAGCTTTTTCTCTCCTGGAGAGAGCACTGCTAAGAGCATCATATCTGCAACCCTTCCAGATGTGGTTCAGATGAGATGGTTGGTCAAACACAATGGTGATGGAAGTACTTGCTACCCAGGAAGCCTGGCACCAAAGAGCACAGCTCCCAGACCACATATCCTGCCAGTCAACCTGATCCTGTATTGACAAAACATTATGTCCATCAACCCAAGACAATTTAAGGAGGATGTTAAAGTATCTGAATGCATCCAGGAGAAGGCAACAAAGCTGGTGAAAGGGCTGGAAGGTGCAGTAATCCGTGGTTCTCTGGGCTTTGTATGGGTCCAATCCGGCCAGCTGGAACCCAAGCCCACACAGACCTGCATGGACTGAAGATAAAAGATGAGGAGCACTCTTCCACCACGTGGGACGAGTATCCTGTTTATTGGAACAAGTATCCTGTTTATTGGCTTGTGATGGGACACTGCTGACCTCAGCAACCACCCAGGTGGCAAAAGAGGCTGAACCTTTACCTGCAGTGGGGTTTTATCCCCCAGGGGAAAGGGGGCGGGGAAAGAGGACCATGGCCAATGGGATGCCATTGGGGAGGGGCGAGGGGAGGGGTATCCATGGGGCAGACCACCAGGTGTGTAGAAAGGAGTGCATGGGGAGAAACCATGTGATGACGAAGGGGGAATAATCTACATGACATACCACACTCAGTACAAAATTCCCGTTACCCAGTGCAGAACAACTACTAAATAAACTATTTAGTGCAATACAACAGGAAGGAATGTCCTACAAGGATCTGCTGAGGACTCTGGGTTTGTCTACTTTGGAGAAAAAGAGGCTGAGGGGTGACCTCATGGCTCTCTGCAGCTTCCTGAGGAGGGGAAGTGGAGAGGGAGGTACTGAGCTCTTCTCCCTGGTATACAGCAGGATCTGTGGGAATGGTTCAAAACTGCATCAGAGGAGGTTTAGACTTGACATTCAGAAGCATTTATATGCAGAGAAGGTGGACAAACATTGGAACAGGCTTCCTAGAGAGGTGGTTGATGCTCCATGTCTGTCAGTGTTTGAGGCATTTGGGTATCAAAATGCTTTAACTTTTGGTCAGCCCTGAAGTGGTCCAGCAGTTGGACTAGATGACTGTTGTAGGTCCCTTCCAAATGAACTATTCTATTCTATTCTATGACATAAATAAAAAGAATATGGGTCTGAGCTCCTACCAGAAAAAAACACCCAGTGCAGTACAGCCTGGCTTGCTAAGGAGCTCCTCCAACAAACAGCATTTCAGCCATGTAAGTGTATGTGATCCAGCCCTCCAGCCCCCAGGCTGAGGATGTGAGAGCAAATTAAGCAACTTTCTGTAAATCTGAGCTCACTCCAGGGTGGCAATTTCTAAAGTAAACACTCCTCAGTCCCTCTCTATATAGCAGCATCTCAGGGTCTTTTACCATTTCATCCCTGGACTTCATGTAATCCAATGCCACGGATTTATATTAAGGCGTTAGGTGATTTTCACTTTTATTCACCCCCAGTTTTATTTGGCTGCAAGTCCACAGACAACAGAGATTTCCTTCAAATAACTCTGACATTATGGGGACATTACAATTAGTTTAGAACTCATCACAGACTATTAGTTATTTAAATTAATCCTGTGCAGCAGTGCGACTCAATTGTCAGCGTCCGGCTAGCTCCCAGCACTGCTAGCAGCACGGGGGGGCACTTCTCCCGAGAGCTGGCTTCGGGATGGCGCCTAAGGCAGTGCCCAGCTTGCAGCTGTAGGCACACCTTGTGCAGGACGGAGTCTAGTAAAGGCTGCAACCAGCGGAAAGAAGACGGCAGACTCCAACTGTGGCTTAATCCAGGCTTTAATGAACCCCGGAGGGACCGACAGGAGAAGGGGGGGGGGGGGGGGGGGCTGACAGCAGTTTTTAAGGGGTAGGGAGGTGCCAGGCATTGGGCCAATGGGGGTACAGTGGGGAGTGGGGTCCAAGGGATTGACACGTGGGCAACACCAACAGGAAACATTCTGGGGAGGGGCCCCGGTTCCTCAGCCAACCATCGAACTCCCCTGCTGGAACATTCTAGCAGTAAGGGTGGGGAGTGAGAGTGATTGGCGGGGCACTGGGGAGGGATCAGAAGAAAAAATACAAGGGTTTCCAGGGAAACCAGGGCGGAGTTTAGGGGATACATTGTTGGCTGAGGTGGAGCCAGGAAGACAGACAGCTCCAAAGGCGGGAAGGGAGAACTGGGGCAGAACCATTTTCAGACAGAAGGGGATTGGAACAAACCAACCTAATAACTTAACAAAACACACTGCAACAATCCTGCTAGAACCACATTAATTCTTTATTAAGAAATAGGCATCAGCTTTTCTGTCAGGGCTGTTACATCCTTATTACTTCTCTTGTCCTGGCTGAGATAAGATGTCCAGCTTGCAACTACATTTCCATGCCAGACATTTCTTATACAGCTGTGGGGTCCTTTGTGCTGCCAAGACAGGTGCATGAATTAACATTTCCAGAAGTGAAACCCAGAGTCTTACCATCTGGGGTTGTGCTATGCTATCTGTCCTCCTCCTGAATAATAAACTTTTAAAAAAATAAACATATTAATTTTAAAAATAAATAATACAATAAATAATATCACTTGTTAAAGGCTGAATAAGGAATAGGAGATCACAAGCATGGTCTGAGGTGCTTGCTCACATTCACAGGTTGATGTACCTTGCCAATTCTGCAAACATTTTCCTCCCTTAACCATATCAAAAAATGGAAGTAAAGATTGAAACTGTATTTTCTGCTTGTAGAACCTCACACATCCGTGGAGCCAAGTGAAAACAACACCAGTGGGAGAGAGATAACTGCCAGTTCCTCTCCTGCTTGAAAGGAATGAGAAGGAGGTGTCTTTACATACAAACTGTTGGCCTGATGGTAGATAAGGCCAGATACTGATAGGTGAAAGAAGCAATGGGGCAAACCATAAATTCCATATGAATTCCACTAATTGACACAGACTCTTACTCATTCAAGACTGTGCTAAATCTCTGGATTTAGAGAAAAAGAACAGAGACACAAAGAAAAAAGGGAGGGGGCATACATTAGAAGGGGTCTTAGGCGTTTTTTGGAAGTCTGTACTTCTCAAGTACCTCAGCCAATGGGGAAAGAGAGAGGGAAATGTGGCCGGGAAATTAGGATAAAAAGGAGGCTGCGTCCCCTAAAAATTTTGACAGACCCCAGGGGAAATGCCCCATGGCCTCTTCATTTATTCAAATAAAGTTACAGGACTTCTCTCTCTCCTTTTTGGACATAAACCTCTGGTGTTTATGGATTAATTTTCCTGACACACTGCTGCTTGGGGGTTGCTGCAGGATTTTTAGGGGACCATGGGTCATGCAAGGTCGCTCCTCAAAACCCATCCTTTGTACAAAAGCTGCTCTTTTATTGACCGTGAATGTCTATCAGTGCAGCAGCACGGACTGGCCGTGCCCTACCCATGACCCTCACAGAAAACCACCCTCTCCATCCCACTCATAGCTCTCCACCCAACTTTTCTTCCGCTTTACACGACATGTGGACCTGTCCCGTAAGGGCTGATGCAACGTCAGGAACCACACACCCATGCATTCCACAAACAGTGTGGCGGAGAGCGCTGCCCCTTTAAGTGCGCCCGTAAAGGCGGGGCGGGGCTTGCCGTGCGGCGGGGCGTAGCGTGGTGCGGCGTAGCGCGCCGCGCTGAGGTCAGATGTGAGTGGGCGCCGTCACAAAAGGAAGTGGTGGCGGCGACGGCTGTCAGCGCGGGGCGGGGGGCCTGTCGGGCAGCGCGACGGCGGCGGGGCAGCGGCAGCAGCAGCCTGGGCGGCGGGGGCTGCGCCGCGCCATGGCCCAGCAGCAGATGAGCAGCTCACAGAAAGCGCTGATGCTGGAGCTGAAGTCGCTGCAGGAGGAGCCTGTGGAGGGCTTCCGCATCACCCTGGTCGACGAGTCCGACCTCTACAACTGGGAGGTGGCGATCTTCGGGCCCCCCAACACCCTCTACGAGGGCGGTTACTTCAAGGTACGGCTTTTCCCCGCTCCGCCGGCGGACCGGGCCTCCCGCCGCCGCGGATGTCCCGGCGAGCTGCCGCTGGGGCCTGCACTATTTCCCTCGCTGCCTGCCGGGCCTCTTTGTCGGGTTCGAAGGGGCCGCGGCGGGCTTGCGGTCACTGTCAGGTCCTCCACCCTCCGCGGGAGGGGGCCGGGGCCTACGGAAGGAGGGAAGGCAGGGCTCGGCTCCCGTAGATAGTGCCCTGCGAGCTGGCCTTCCCCGCCCGCTGCCAGCGGCGCGGGGACGATCTGCAGGGCAGGCTGGCTGGGGGCCTGCAGGGCCTCTTCTTTTAGGATGCCCTCTGGGAAGAGGAGGCCGTGTTATAGCTGTCTCTGTTCTGTTATTTCTCAATTTTAACCCCAAAGAAACGCAGGTACCTCATGGCAGAGAGCAAATTCTTCCCTTTCAACCCCAAGTTTGTTCTCTTGGCTCTAGTCTGTGTGTGTTTATTTCAAAGGGGCTTCCGTTGATAGCTTTGTCATGTAGGAGCATCCTGTGTAGGATGACTAACTCAAGATAAAAGCTGTGAGGTTTTGGTTTTTTTTAAAACTCCGTGGACTTTATGACTGTTTTTCATGATTTTTTCCCTCTGGTTTCCTTTTCTTCCTCTCCAAATTTCTAGAAGGCAGCCTTCAAAAGGTTACAGCAACACATAATTGGTGAAGGTAGATAAATTAAAAGCATTTGTCTCTGAGTCTTCCTGTTAATCTAAAAATGCGTTTGTGGTTCTCTTGTAAATACAGTGAGCAAGAAATCTGGCACTGCTGCCCCAGAAAAGGGGGGGAACTTAAATTCTCAAAACAATTGGAGGAGGAATTTAATTATTTTTCTTAAAGGAAGCAATTGAAAAGCCATAGTGCCTGCAGAAGATCTGTTGCATCGGGCAGACCCCTTTCCACTTGATGTCTGTCTGCTTGGTCTCTAGCAAAATAATGTCCCCTTCAGCTCCCTTCTCCCAGGAGTTATTGTTTTAGTAGTGGCTCCTGTGTCTCTCACTTCATGCCCTTTGATTTCTGTCAAACCAAAATAAATTTTGGGATAATTTCTTTGCTTGGCTGGCATGCATCTTGGCCTCTCTGGGTGTCCTGGATTCAACTGGGATGGAGTTAATTTCTTCTTAGTAGCTGTTACAGTGCTGTCTTTTGGATTCAGAATGAGAATGGTGTTAATAAGACACCAGTGTGTTAGGTTTTTTGCAAAGTTGTGTTTATCTTAAGGACTTTTTTTCCTTGTCTTATGCTCTGCCAGTGAAGAGGTTCACAAAAGAAACTGAGAGGGACCACAGCTGGGACAGGTGACCCAAACTGACCAAAGGAATATTCCATACCTTAGAATGGCATGGCCAGTATATAAACTGTGAGGAGTAACCCAGAAGGGTGGCCAATCTGGGTTCAGGAAGGGGGGGTGTCTGGCATCAGTCAGCGGGTGGTGAGCAACTGTATTGTGCATCACTTGTTTTTTCCCGTTTTATTATTGTTCTTATCTTAATTTACCAAAATTACTGTATTTGACTTTCGTTTCAATTATTAAACTGTTCTTATCTCAACCTACAAGTTTTACTTTGATTCTCCTCCCCATTCCACCACAGTGGGATGGGGGGGGGTTTGAGCAAGGGACTGCATGGTGCTTTATTTCCGGATGGGCTTCAACCACAATGCTGGGTCAAGGTTTAAGAGCTTTGTTACACAAACCCAGAATTAACTTGTAGCATGTGGAATAATAGATTTGTGTTCCGTTTGGCTTCATTATTTAGAAGGAAGGGAAGGCTTTGGCACAAGGCTTGCTCTTTGTAATGAGTTGGTGGACATGCTCCTGTAGGTGTGATAGGTATATTCTTAGACTCGCCTCCATTACTACTTATTCTGGAAGTTGCTCTAGTCTTGGGTTGGTAATTGGGCCATTTTTACATCTGAATGGTTTGACAGCCTCTTCCTGCACTTACATTACTCATCCATTTTTTTCCAAAGAAATCACAATGAATCAAAATTTTTTTGCTTGGGAACTATGTGTATGTAATTGTTCTTGGAAAGAAGTTAGAACAATCTATGAAATAATCTGGGAATGTGCATTAACAAGTGTAGACTTTAAGCAAGGTTGCCAGTTGCCTTACATCAGTATTATGAATGTGATATCTCTTTTGGTATTTTATGTCCTTGAAATGTTGTACCTTTTTTGTAAATCCTTCTGACCAGTCCCGTGATGCTTATTTTGAGAGTGGGAGATGAAGGTCTCGTGATGCCTTCACCCCTCCACAGGAGAGGAATTCGCTTCAAGCATCATGGCTGAAGTCTCTCATATGTTGTTTCTGTCTCACCTTCCCTCCATGGGGAGCTGCTCATGGTGGGTTTTGTTTTGGTAGTGTTTGGTCTTTGGTTATTCATCTTAGATTCTGAAAAGTGATTTTTAGACCCTTGTTCTGTCACTAGGGAGAAGGAGTCCTGTGGTCCGGAGAAGTGATGTTGACTTACTTTGTATTGGGCCTTCAGGCAAACTTTTAGATGTGTTAGACTTGGCTTGCTGAATCATTTAGAAATAAAATAAAGTTGGATATTAATCTTCTGGGGTGACTTCTATGATATATTCATAGTATATGCAAGGTGAGCACTAGTTTAGATCAGCATCTGATTTGTTTTTCAGATTTCTTGACTTGAAATATTTAGCTTCATCTTGTTTTGGTTTTTTAGTTTCCTAAGATTAGGTAAGCAGGATTAGAAATATGCAATCTGTAACTTTTTTTAAACTTTGTGGCAATGAGAGTTTGGGAAATTTCTTCCACTTGAGGTGTGGTTTGAGGGTAGGAACTGGAAAGGAAGTACAAAGGCTTCTAGTTAAGCTAAAGTATAAATATTTTGAGAAAAGCCTGTATTTAATGTGACCTTAATAAGGTGTTGGTGCTAGTTGGTTGGGAATACAAATGCTTGATTTGTGCTCATGAAACACTTGAACCTTTTGACAGGTTGTTTTTTCTTTAATAAATATGACTTTTATCTCTGGGTTGTTGAACTAGCTGAATAAACTGAAATGAGGGAAGTGTTCTCTTTGTACCTTTTTGACAAGAGCTACTGTTGTTAAAGGCTGGTTCAACATATCAACAGATTCTGCTTTCAGTTGCTAATCCTGTAACCAGTATTTGATAAATTGAAGCAGAAAACCTGTCCCCCTGAATGTTTGTTTAAATGGTAGATTATCAGTATCTTAGTGCTGTCTACAATAAAGGCTGGGGACTTGTTAAAAAATCAAGCACAGCATCTAAGCATATATTATAAACTAATATAGCATGCTCAGATTTACTGCAGTACTTCATAGTTTAGGACCTCCTAGCTTGATGAAAAGGGCAGCAGTCTTCAGAAGCAACCACTTTGTGGAGAGCAGCTTGTATCAGTGAAGGATAGGAGCAGTCATGAACTGCAAGTCCCCTTCATGCAATCAGCTAAAAGTGTAAATCTGCAGTGAAGGTTGTCACAAGCCTAGATGTTTCTGAATGGCTGTTCTTATCCCTGTTAATCTTTGCCTTATCTAGTGACTTTATGTAGCTATTCATTATGACTGGGAATAATGTTTTGGGCAACCTTTTGCTCAGGTTCCAGATCACCACCCTCAAGGAAGGAGTTCAGTTATTTCATACACTGGTGACCTCCCATTCTTGTGCTGGAAGCCAATATTTCAGAGAAGGTGCAAGTGAGAAATTATATAAATGGAAACTTCATTATTAGATGTGTAGTGCTGCCCAGAAGCACAGTTTGACCAAGTTTGCTGTGTCAAGGAAACAAGAAGAATGAACTGCACTGTTTGGTAGTTCTTAGGACAATTTATTTCATAAGGTATTTTTGCTATATGAAGGAGCAAATCTTGAAATAAATGGGGGAGGGAAGAACCTAAGCATTATGCTTAGTTTTTTCAAGTAATTCGGGGGCTAAATACTTGTTAAAGCATTGCTTTCCCTGCTTTTTGTAACTTGTTAACTGTGTGCTGCCTAGAGTTCTGTATTGTTGGATCTCAAGTTTCTTCCAAGTGATTTGTTTTGATTGCATAGCAACTTGCAATATGTGAGAATAATTTTTTTTCAGAGCAGTGAATTAATATGGAACTTACAGATAACTGATGGCAAGTATGAGCACCATGCTTAAAAGTTTTGGTCTTATAAGAGTCTTTCTAGAGAGCTTAAAATTAAGCAAATAGAAGTTGTAACTAGTAGAACACAACTCCACAAAAATATTTCTTGGTGCCAAAGAACAAATGTGTGGTACTCTGAGCATAAAAGCTGCCTTCTGCAGGCCTCTGCATTGCAAGGTGCTACAAAGCTTCTCTCTCAGTGTAATTAAGCTTCTATTTTTGTTTTCTTTAGGTATTGTTGATGTTAGTAAGCAACCCACCTATCTGTAGGATAGGATCACCTATTGTTGGCTATCTCCAAAGTGAAAGAGATATGAAGCTGTCTGTAGGCAGGAAGGTAAGAAACATCTGATGTTGGTTCATGGATCATAAGCATACTTTATGATCTTTAACTCTGAGGCCTGGGGAATACCTGACTGACCCTCACTCTGCTGTTGCATGTAGGTTTTTGGATGGTTGGGTCTGTGGGACCCACAGAACCTCCCAGACTGTAGACTCTTTTGGACATCTGCCTGGCTTCAGGAGGCAACAGGCAATATAATGATGGTAGCCAGCCTCCAGCCCTTCCCCTAGGACTCCTCTGATCCAAGTAGGGATATTGTATATGCTAAGAAGCACAGAGGTTTCCACTTCTGATACTGCCTGAGAATAGAAGATTGTGTACACTTAGGTCCTGTTGTATGGCAAGAGGAGACCCTGCCTCTGCCATGAGGATAAAAATAGAAAGCTTTCCATTTGGAAAGATTGAGCACTGTCAGTTTGCATAATTCATTGTTTGGCTCTATTTCCATGAGTCTGCACAGAGTGATCCTTCGATAAGGTAAAATAAAACATGACTTTTTCTTGGATAGCAATGT